GTACATGAAGGTTTTAAACAACCCTTTGAACAAACAAGGTATCTCACCTCTCCTCCCTCACTTTTTCAGATAGCTAACAAACCTCCCGAAAATGCTGTCATTTTTTTTTTTAAACTTTGCCTCCTATTTTCTCCAACATTCTCTTATGGCAAACTTGGTCATCATGGTCTCTGCGCCCCTCTGTCGTACACACATGCATGTGATCGCTCACACCCGTGCAGACTTCCTGTGGCTGCTCTGGCACTAGTGGCACCGCCCGTTCCTGTTTCAGTTCCTGAGTTTGCCTGAAGCTCTGTGCTTCCCAAGCATTGCCAGGCTGTGTCTGCTCTTTGTCCTGCCTACTTTAGTGCAAACTTTTTCTTTAAAAGACTAATCAATCCAGGATACTCCAGCATCGTGAGGAGAGGCTCTCGGTGAATGTCTCTGAGGGGTAAGCGACGGCAGCAAATACAGAGAACTGGGGTGTCCCCAGGACTGGGAGCCTGCAGTGATAGTGGTACACAGGTGGGCGGTTGGACACAAGGTTCTCCTGCACAAAACCACTGGAGCATCATTGCGCTGGAGGTGGGGGAGAAGAGGTTGCCAGCAGGGTCCATCAGGCTTCTTCTGGAGGGAGAATAGCGCCCAAAGTAGCAGTGACCATGAATGTCTCAGGGTAACAACGTGATCCAAGGATCTGAGGACCTCCCAAAACTTGTGTATCCCTTACAACACGTGGAGAATTCACAACCTCTTGGTGAGAAGATGACAAGCAGATAAGGGGTAAAGTGGGGTCCCCCAATGACACAATGTTAGGATGGGGTCTCTGAAAGAAATTCAAGTTGATTTTTAAATAAGAGGCGGTGACATTTCTTGCATATCAAGTTCCTCTGGAGTCTGTGACTCACAGACAAACTGAGATTTCAAATCTGATGTTATACGCACTGAAAATTCTGGAAGGACCCATAAGGAAAAGCTGAGAGACACTGCCTTTGAGAAAGCTACCTGGCAAGATGAAAAGGAAAGGGAAGGGACACTTACTATTCTTACATACTTTATTATGAGCTCTACTATTTATATCATGAAGAACCTTACTTAGAGGAAATCTCAAAATTATTTGTATGCCGATAACAGCTAACATTTCTTGCTCCATGTGCTACGGGATTTCCACGGTTTAAGTCATCTGAGCTCTACAACAGACTTGTGCAGCAAATGTCATTACTATACCCTCCCTTTTCTTTCTGAACAAGGAATCCGCTGCACACAGAGTTTAAGTAATTTGCCCTACGTTACACAGCTAGCAGGTGGCACAGCCCCACGGCGTGTTCTCCACCACCACGAACCACCATGCTGTATGTTAGCGAGAGGCATGCAATACCTAAACCTAGAGGTTTGGGGCGCCTGGTGGGTCTGTCCCTTAAGGTCTGAACCTTGGTTCTGGCATAGGCCATGGTCTCAAGTGATGAGATCAAGCCCCTTATTGGGCTCTACATTAGTGGGGAGGCTGCTTGAGAGTCTCTCTCTCCCTCTCCCTGCTGCTTGCTCTAAATAGATAAATAAATAAAATCTTTAAAAGAACTGGAAAATTAAATCATGCGTAACTATCAACTACATATTTTTTTCTGACAGTTACAATTCACAAACAACTGCAGCTTATTTTATTTTATTTTATTTTTTAAAGATTGTATTTATTTATTTGACAGAGAGAGACAGAGAGAGCAAGAGTAAGCATCAGTGCTGGGGAAGGGGAGAAGCAGATGCCCCACTGAGCAGGGAGCCCGATGTGGGACTTGATCCCAGAACCCCGGGATCGTGACCTGAGCTGCAGACAGATGCTTATCCCACTGAGACACCCAGGCGCCCCAAACAACTGTAGTTTAAATAATGCAATTATTTATATTTTTGACAATAACCTTTACAAGTGGCTTTTATTTTATCCCTATTAGCTTAATACAGCAGTCTGGAAATAACAATTTCTACAATGTTTCCTTTCTTTACAGCATTCTCTAGATTTTTTAAATCCTCAAATATTAGGGTTTTTTTTTGTTTTAATTATCTCTTTGACTTGGAATATTATTTTGTCAAAAGATAATGTGTGGTCTTGAACTGGTAATCTCTCAAGGACTGACGGCCACCTATGTTCCCGTGACATCTCAAGTTATAGCTATTAATAGACTATTGAGCCAGTAAACACTGTATCAATTACAGCTAAATGTGAGGATAATTAATGCTATATGTCGCTCAGACTGAAATACAACACTTGGAAGAATATTTTATAAATACAAGTAAAATATAATTTTATAAATAGAAATAAATATATTTATTTTATAAATACAAATAAAATTATATTTTAATTGAGAATACTTGTATCGCTTAATAGTCAAGGATTCGTGATTTGGCAATGACGCCAGTCCCTCTAGTCTTCTACAAACCTTACGATGTGTGTCTTAATGCTGTCTGAGTCAATTTACTGCAATTCGCCCTGTTGGGAGTATTTGGTATTTCACTGATGCTTTCAGATTTCACCAAAGGCAGTAGCCAGTGTAGGTCATGTGGAAAGGACTCCACTCCTACCACGCTTTCTTCAATAGCTGTACGGTTGTGCAGAAGTTCAATTAAAGGTCAAGTCTACATAGCCGAATGGCAGGAAGTACTCGGCAATCATCTGTGCTTTCGAGCCCTAACGTTCGATGGGATGTACACATCATGTCTGTCGAACCATTTCTTACTGAGAAGAGCCATCAGTTCCCCATCCCACCCTATTTTCCCAGCAAGGAGGAATCCTTCCCAGTTTACAGATAAGGACACCGACGCTGGGCTCTCCCCACCGTTGACCTTTCTAGCATCGTGACTGCTGCCGCTCACGGGAGCGTGCAGCTGCGCCAGCCTGGGCTCGTCCCAGCTCAGGCCACTGTCACAGTCACCTGATTCTGGTTTGAGGCTGGAAGATGCTTGTTAATGATCTACCTCATTGGCTTGATAGGCAATAAGTTCTGATTACGTATGTTCAGCTCCTGAGAATCTACAATACGCCATTAGAAAATGAGGCGTACCATCCTTCGACACAAATTTACAGAGCACAATTGAAAATAAAATCCCACCTCTGCAGGTCGGCTTGTCTCACTTTCATCAACACATGCACATGTGGATCATCTTAAAGATTTTGAGGAAACTAGCGACCCATTGAGGAACCTCTAAGATATTTGAAAACCCATCTCAAAGGAGAAGTCAAAGAACACACACACAAAGACAATTAGCAATGCTGACATGAATTTGATAAGAGATGCCAAAGTCGTCTTTAGCCATCAGGCAATCATTGACGCTGTTTCCTCCCCACAGAGTTCATGTGTGTTTCCGTGGTCAGGGATCACCTGCCTGGCATCAGTTTTCTACAACCTTCCAAGTAGGAAATAGCTCAAGGACAATGAAAGGCACAGACCATTACCCCATCCTTTAACCACAAACACTGCGCCAGACATTGAAAGGATAATGAGTAATTTTTTCTTCCCGCCCAGGGGAACTTCAAAAGTTTTCCTGACAATAAAACTTACAAATTAATTATTTCTTTTCTTTTAATGGCTCCCCTCCAGCAAAATAATTCCAGTAAAATCATCACCATTTTTATTGTATTACATTACTCTGTAATTCATTAGTTCTCTAAAATTTTGATACCTTATTTATAGAAAATGTCTAAGTTTTTAAAATGTACATTGTTATGTAAAACACAGATTTATGTTTTATTCTGAATGGCCATTGAGTATTTTCTTATACTACAGTCTAAACAGTTTCTTTTAATAATTGATTTTTCTTATATTAACCAAAATATATGAATGGGTTTAAAATGCAGTTTCCTGGTTATTTTAATAAAGTGACAATCAGTTCACAGGCATTTGTGTGATAGTATCAAGTTGACCCTGAAAAGACTTCTCTTAATTTGCATTCAAGATGGTAAAAGGTTCTTCTCGATCTTGTTGAAAATGATTTCAAATCAGTTTGCGGCTTGTTGAAAGGACAACATCAAATGCAAACGATAGCTTAAATATATCCTTTAAAGTTTTATAAATAAGTAGTTTCATAAAATATTTTATAGACCATTTTAATCTGAGACATCTTACTGTTTCTGGGGACACGTATGTATTATCTGCGCCTAAGAGAATGGTTTCTTTCTCTTCATCAGAAAATTACAGGGTCGAAGCTGAAGACAGAGGCTGCTCCCCCATGACTTGGATAATTCAAAAGGGAGAAGGGAACGTGTTCCCAAGCTTCTTTCACGTTTATCTCTCGAGTCAAACTGTTTGATTACTGATCTCAGGAACACCAAAGAGTGCAGCTGAACGAAAATGGTCTGTGTATGTGCCACTTAGAGGACACCCCACGTGAGGCCCTTGTTTATGGGACACACAGCTGTACCGTTCGACGGAAACCTTCTCCCACACAATGGCTCCCGCACATGAATTCAGAGGTGAAGCCAACGTCTCGGGAGTAATTGTGACTCCTAACTCCCAAACCACACATTTTCTCCTGCACGAGAACTTGGTAGAATTCTCTCCAACTTCACATAGATTTCTCTGTTTTCCAGTTCAACAACAACACCACACAGACATTTGTACACGAGCACGCACAGAATGGGGCTTAATTAAATCAATGCCACTTCGATTTATTGTTCAAAATGCTTCCTCTAGTTAATGAGCGTCATGACTGCCTCTCAGGAAGGGAGAAAACGCTGAGACCCACCATGTGCTCACTTGTCAGAGCCGAGTTCCTTCTCAGTCCTACTCCTCATTTTGGCCTGCTGACAGCACAGATCATGGCAAGCCAGACTTCCAAATTAAAAAGCTTTTGCAAAAAAAAAAAAAAAAAAAAAAAGACTACAAGTGGAGCTTTAACTAAGGAAATGGCAAATAACCAGCCCCTGTTTTTTAAAGCACGCTGGGTTTATGTGTATCTCACACGTGGAGCATGGCGCTCGCCCTCTGGAAATATGCTAGCTCTAGGCGTGGGTGGGCACTTGGGGGCCCTACCTTGGTAGACAGCTTTGAACCCGGGGGACGCGATGCTGTCGTCCGACTGCAGGTGGAGCCACATCTGGTTGCTCATGCTCACGATGAGGTCCGGGACGCTGGACCCGGTCAGTCTGCACAAAAGGGAAAGGTGGGAACCGTTACTGGAATCACCAAACAACTCTACTTTTACCTTGAGGAAGACCATCATGTCTTCCTGCCTCAACAGGCAAGTACAGTGTGTGCCTTCAGACCCTCCTTTGAAGAATCAATAGCCACTTGCAATTTATATTTCTATGTAAGCCTCGACATTACAGACATTTTACAGTAATGATTCTTTTCTATGTTTGAGAATGTACATCTTTGATTTTAAGAACTGACCCAGGGTCACCAACCATCCTCTCTGTCCGGAACTGAAGGGCTTCTCCACGTGCAGGCCTTTCGGTCCCAGACCCGGAACAGGTGGTGATCCCATCGCGGGAAGGAGAGAGAGATCTTACTTCTAGTATGGGTTGTGTAACATCATGCCATCAACATGAATAACGTCACACCATCCATATCTCTAAGCTGAGAAATGTTCTGATTCATTCACAAAACGCTTAGATTTCCTACTTTGAAATTATCATGTACCTTGACCACAAAATTTCTTTTAGAAATACATCATAGGATGGAATACTCTTCAGCACTAAAAAGACATGAGCTGATTTTATCAAGTCATGAAAAGAAACCTAAGTTACATACTGTGTGATTTCAACGCTATGACATTCTGAGAAAGGAAAAACTATGGAGACAGTTAAAAAAAAAAAATCCGAGGTTGCCTGGGGTAGGAGGAGGGATGACGAGGTGGAGCACAGGAGAGTTTTAGGGCTGTGAAATTACCCTGTATGATACTATAATGGTCAATACATGTCTTTATGCGTTGGTCCAAACCCATAGGATGTAAAGGAGCAAGAATGACTCTCAATACAAAGTATGAATTTGGGGTAATAATATGCGTCCATATGGTTTCATTATTTGTAACAAATGTACCTCCTGTGGGAGGACTGCTGATAGTGGGGAAGGCTGTGTGTAAGGGAGGAGGGGACTACGTTGAACTATCCGCTCCTTCTTCTTAATTTTGTCGTGAAACTAAAACTTTTCTCACACACACACACACACACACACACACACACACACACACACGTTGCCATACATTAAGAAAATATCGACAAGAAGAACAGCACGCAAAGCTGAAATAGACGTGGCAAGTTTATTGAACTTCCCCTCTGCGTACCAACGTCCAGGTCACACCAAATGAAAGCTGCAATGAAGCATTCATTCCCTGTTAAAAAAAAACAGTCACATAGTGGCTGCTGTCAGCCAGTGCGAAGCAACACTAAATCCACTGACTGAACTCAAGACACTGACAAAAAAACTGTTGAAATAGAAAAAGGGTAAGAAAAAAATCAATTCAACCAAAATAAATGTCTCTAATCAAATAGGAAGTTTTGCTTTCAGCAAAGCACTTCCAGGAATATGAACAATGATTGGCTCCATCACTCATGTCATCGGTCTGTCAACCCAACACACTCACCTTGGGCCATACAGAAAACCTGCTTCTTAGAAGGGAGATGAACTGTCGTCATTACATGGGAAGTAACTTGCGCAATGTTACACAAAAGTTGGGAGAAAAAAAACACAGAATTTCAGTGAGGAATGTGTAGTCACTAAAAATTACTTCCTTTTGAAGATTTTTCTTTGCTAGAGAGATTGTTCTTTTATATTTGGTGTTTTATTTGATTGTTTGGTTCAAAGAGACTTGTTTTCTTCTCTCTGCATGCCTTCTGTTGGAGTGTCACATACCAACAAGGGAACAGACCATCAATGTCCAGTGTAAGTGTCTGTTTATTTTGACTGATGACTGTAACGCCACATTTTTCTTCTTTTTGTTAATCCTTGCCAGAAAGATCTTTTCCTGAACTTTTACTTTCAAGTTACTCTCTCTATATACAGTGTTTGCCTCTTGTAAGCATCATATAACCGATTCATGTTATTTTTCTATTTTATTTATACTACTTGACCTAACCAGAGAATTTCACCTTTCATTTAGAATATAATTTCATGATAACTTAAAATTCATTTTTCCTGGTTTTCCTTTTTTGATTGGTTGATTACCTTTGACTTTATGCTCTCACTTGATAGCTGCTCATCTCCCAGCACTTCAGGTATGCTACTCTGCTGTCTTTTCATTTCTGTTGTTTTTCTTAAGACGGGACCATCAGTCTCGTATTTGCTCTTTGGAAAATATTTCTTTGCATATGCTGATTTTAAGATATTTCCTTGTCTGTTTGGCACCAGATTTATTGCAATGTGCCAGTGTGAGGTTTCCGTTGTATTATCCTGACTGGCTGATGGAATTTCATGAATCGCGACCTCGATGTCCGTGGTCATTACCGGAAAGTTCTTAGCAATGTTTTCAGATATTGTCCACTCTCTTTCCTTCAAAGCTCCCAAGATACACATCATTTCCGTGTGTTTTTTCCCCTTGATTCAGTTGGAATATTTTTTACTAAACTAACTTCCAGTCCAAACACCTAGATAGAGTTAATTATAGCAGATACTGCATTTTTCAATTCTTAAACTTCCATTTGGTTTGTTGTTATGGATTACAGTTTTCTGGTAAAATTATTATTTCACTTATTTTCTTAAATTGTATAAATCATAATTAATTACTAGAGTCCCTGAGTGCTAACTGCGATGTCTGGATGTCTCTTCTTTTTCTCATCCCTGTCTCCTGGGTTGGGGTCATGGGGCGTTGTTTCCGGACACCCCAGGAAAGCTTTGATTGAATGGCAGACATAGCCGAGAAGCCAACCTAGAAGTTCTGAATACTGTTTTCCTTTTCCTCTGACATTAGAGTGATGGCCTTGACCCGTTCAGTCATCTGAATGATTCCCAGCTACATTTCCAGCCTGTTTCCCAGGGCTCACTCCTTATGCCACAATCCAGAAAATATATTTACGAGTAGATCTCCTCCTTAAAAAAATAGGTCTTGGACACCATCTTTGTCCACTTAGCCTGAAAATTCCAGTTCTTCTGAGCTCTGTAGACCTGTAACAGCAAATTTTTGTTTGGGCTTTTTTCTTCTAACTCCAGGAAAGCGAGGCTTAGGCAAATACATCAAGGACCACACCCAGCAGATGCCAGGCTGGTTACCCTGTAATTCTCTTTTCCTTGAGATCTTGGACCCTCAAGTCTTCACTGTTTTTATATCCCAATTCAGGGGCCCCCACATCCCATGCCTCTCAAAACCATATTATCTTAGTCACTGATATCTGTCTGCCAGGATGCCCTAAACTGAGAATCATAAAATGGACCCAGGGGAAAGTGATTTATGAAAGAGGAGATTCATCTTTTTTTTTTTTATTTATTTTTTTTAAAGATTTTATTTATTTATTTGACAGAGAGAGATCACAAGTAGACAGAGAGGCAGGCAGAGAGAGAGAGAGGGAAGCAGGATCCCCGCTGAGCAGAGAGCCCAATGTGGGGCTCAATCCCAGGACCCTGAGATCACGACCTGTTCCGAAGGCAGCGGCTTAACCCACTGAGCCACCCAGGCGCCCAATAGGAGATTCATCTTAATGCATATTGGTTCTTCTCTGATTTCTATCTTCTAAAATCCTGGTTGCCTTGTATCATTCTCTTAAGCCTTGAGAGACTTGCCGATTCTTTCTGTTTTCAGTTTTCCTAACTATTCTCAGCAGAGATTATGTCTGGTGTTTCTGGAGGAAGGGGACTCTGGTGCTCATTTTCTACCTGGCTTATTTCTTTCTTTCTTTTTTTTTTTTTTTTTTTTTTAATTTCTCCTGTACTGCATTCTCTGGACTATGTGAATATATGAAGGGAAGTCTGTTCTTACAGCAAGTATAAACAGTTACTTGTTTTATCTTAGGTTACATTCACTGTTCTGGGGAGGGGCCTGGCTGGCTCCCCTGGAAGCAACTCTCGATCTTGAGGTCGTGAGTTTGAGCCCCATGTTGGGTGTAGAGATTACATAAGAACAGAATCCTTAAAAAGAATCACTGCCTTGGGTAAGACAATGAATAGAAAAAGACAAGTATCATTTTGTCACAAAGTTTATATAACCACAAAGAAGAGAGAAGTATAACCACTGATTTTTCTTACACACTAATATATATTGGTTCTTGAGTTACTTGTAAAATAAGTAGACGATGATGCTTTTTTCTTCCTATTTTTTTCTTTTTTTATTGAAGTATGTTTGACACGCAATGCTGTATTAGTTTCAGGGTACAACATAGTGATTCAACAACTCTGTACGTTATGCGATGCTCACCATGGTAAGTGTAGACACCACCTGTCACCGGTCAGTGCTATTACAACATTGCTGACTATATCCCCTATGCTGTTCCTGTCATCTCTGTGGCTTATCTATTCCACAACTGGAGGTTTGTGCCTCTTAATCTCTTCTTCCTCTACTTCACCCACCCGGAGCCCCCTCCCTGCTGGCAACCACCCATGCGTTCTCTGGATTTATGAGACTGTTCCTGGTTCTGTGTTTATTTGTTATTTTATCATTATTATATTTAGGTCCACACACAAATGACATCAGATGGTATTTGTCTTTCTCTGACTTACTTCACTTAGAATAATACAATCTGGGTCCATCCGTTCTATCCATATTGTTGCCGATGGCAAGATTCCATTCTTATAAATGGCTGAAGAACGTTCATGTGTGTGTGTGTGTGTGGTGTGTACACACCACATCTTCTTTTTGGCATTTATCAACTCTGCAAGGGGGTGGAGTCAACGTCCTTCTGATCTACATTCCCTATGTCCACTCTCGACTCACATGCTATACCCCCGGACCTCGAGATTCATGACATTATCCAGTGCCACCCCACTGCTAATCTGGGCCATTTTCCTGCAACCCTCTGGGTGATTGCCATCTTTGCCGTGGTGCCATCTTCAATGTGGCGCCATCTTCACCCGTGGTGCCATCTTCACCCGTGGCTGTTAGGAGTGTCCACATGGACAGTTCTGCTAAACGAGTCATAGTCCCTTGATCCTTTCAAGTGCAGGGGCCCTTCCTTCCTCTCCATTTAAAGTGAGGTGCTGGTCACTTTGCTACACTTTA